CACAGACACACACACCTTTCATGTGTGGAAAAGGGCAACTGCAGAGACCAGCTGTTAAGAGCAGAAATGTCGCTCCACTCGAGCAGTTGCTTTTCTGCAGCGAGGTCACACACACACACACGCACACGCACACGCACACACACTTTCCCGCGGCGCTGTAAGCGGTCTTTGGCTTTGATGGCGGCGATGGCGTTCCCCGCGGTTGGGTCTTCGGTTTCATAAAGAGACGCATGTGAAAACGAATACAAATAAAACTCATGTCTGTGACTCCTCCTCCCGTCTCCTCGCTGGCTTTCCTTTCCCCGCTTTCCCTGTCTCCTCCTTCCTCAGCCAACTTCTCTTCCTCACTTATCTCCTGCTTCCTAAACCTCCCCTGTGCTCTAGGTTCCTTTCCTTCCCTCTCCTCTTCTCCTCTCTGTTTCACTCTTTTTGCTGACATCACCTGCTGAATCACACCTCCTCCTCCTCCACCTCCTCCTCCTGCTCCTCCTCCTCCTCCTCCTCCTCCTCCTACTACACGTCCTCCTGTGGTTTTGAGTTACACCGCATGTGGAGCCCTGCTGTGTGGAGGGGTGATGGCGTTTGTGCCTAACAACTCTGTCCCTCTCTTATCCATGATGTCATCGGTCTTGTTCACGGCCATTTTAAAATATAAAGCGTAAAGAGCCAGTAGAGCAACGAAATAGACCCTCGGAATGACTGAACCGCCCCTTTAAGCACAAGTTACCGCCATAACTGTGATGGATGAGGCCTCTGCACAGTGTGTGTGTGTGTGTGTGTGTGTGTGTGTGTGTGACTCCACGTGTGCTGTATTGAATTTGAATTCCTTCTGCTAAAGAGTTACAGTGTTTGTGTCCAGGGCTTTTATTGTGAAAGTTAAGAAGGGAAGTGGATCTTTGTTCACGGCTGAAAGGAGCGTTGTGTCACATCTGCATCATTGTTATTCAGCATTTAGTGGCACAAGCATGCACACATGCACGTATACACACACTGCATGATCATATGTACACGCCTCTAGGTCACATACTTGTATTACTGTGTGTGCGTGTTTGTGCGTTTTAGTTTAAATCAGCGTGTGTGTTGCTCTTTTGTCTCTGCGGGGACATTTTGCTGGACGTGTTCTGAAGCTGCAGCTCGAGGAATAAAGCACAAAGGTCCTCACGAGTGCAGCAACGGCAACACGTCTGACACGTTTTACATGTGTGCAGGGATTCTTGTCAGTGTGTGTTTCCACAACTGTGTGTTAAAGCGCACACACACTTCAGCGCGCGCGTGTGTGTGTGTGTGTGTGAGCGGCGGTCTCCCGGGTCGGGCCATAACTGTGATGGATGAGCCGTGTGTGGAGGCTGTTATTATTTGTTATGTGAGCGTGTGCGTGTGTGTGTGTGTGTGTGCGTGTGTGTGTGTGTGTGTGTGTGTGACAGGGCCGCGGGGGCCATACACCTGCTGCGCGTCCAGAGAACAGCTGGACGCATTGATGGAGCTGCAGGAACGAATCAAGCAACAGCTAATAAAGAAGACGGTGTGTGTCTGTGAACGCCACACAGAGCCTCAGCGAGGTGTCGCTCCTGGATGCCGCACAGCTCAGGGCTTCACGTCTGGCCTGGATGCAGAGGGGGGGGGGGGGGGGGTCCATGTTGCGTTGGTGTGTGCGTGTCTGTTTGCATGCACAGCCTCCTGCATGAGGTCGGTGTGTGTGTGTGTGTGTGTGTGTGCGTGTGTCGGTACTTCTCAATGCGTCTGCAGAGGAGAGAGGAAGTGTGTGTGTGTGTGTGTGTTTTTTCCCCCTGCAGCTGTGCTGCAGTGTGTGTCTGCGTTGGCAGAGGACACACTGGCCCTACTGTGGGACTATTGTGCGCGCGGATTAGCCCGAGCTTTGTTCCAGACACAACGTCGTGCAACCGGAGACGCGCGTGTGCGTTAGTCATCAAAGCGGAAGTTCAGCTAACAACGAGGCCAACGAGGCCCGAAGATTCTCCAAATGCTCCAGAAAAGAAGGCGGTTTGAAAAGTAAAATTCCTCCTACATCTAATTGTTTATTCACAATAAAACGCGAGTAAATAATGAGGTGTCACAGCAGCAGAAGGATTATCTCATGGTAATCCTCTTAAAGTGGAGGGAACGCTGACTTCCTGTTTTGGCCTGTAAAACAAAACAATCTCACAGATCTGTTGGTGGCGACTGAACACGCCTCCTTCAGGCTCCCTGCAGGGTCGGGTCCGTTCGTCCTTCAGAGTCGTTGACCCCGAGGTCAAATTCAGACATGCGACCCCCCCCCCCCCCAGATATGCACGCTTTACGTGGCTCACCTCTGACCCCTCTCCCCCCCCCCGGACCACACACCGATCTGCAGCAGGTGAGCGTCTCGTAACTGCTTTAGTGGAGGCAGGTGGCGCTAAAGAGGCCGAGGGTCCTCTTCATCCCATCTTAATGCACCAGTCTACACCCTTATTATTCTTCATTATTATTATTACGACTCAAAGGCCTCAGACCTGTGCGGCCCCCAGCTTATTGCCCCCGGCTTATTGCCCCCGGCTTATTGCCCCCAGGCGTTCGATTCCCGTCGCCCGGCGGTTTCTATCGCCTGAGCCGGCGACACAGACGTCTTTTTGTCGCCTCCCAGTGACAAAACTGGCTGTGAGTTCGGGGCTGGGGAGGCCAACAGCGGCCCCCCGCCTGGGGTAAAGCACATTTGCCCCTTGCAGAAGTCTGGGGGGGGTAAATTGTACTTATAACGCCACTCATCTATAGCAAGTTATAAAGTAGCTTATTTGATGAAATTGCACTTTCTTGTTTCTTGTTCTTCTGGGTTTCAACCTTATGGTTAAATGTACTTATTGTAAGTCGCTTTGGATAAAAACATCAGCTAAATGACACGTGATGTGATGTGATGTGATGAGAGAAGTTCTGCTTGTGTGTGAGGAGAACTTGATCCAATAGAAGGAGAGAGAACTCGGTTCCACACTTACAACATCTGGAAAAAGACAACGATTGACATGATGCACAATGAGATACACAATCAAATGTTTAGGATGAAATATCACAATTGGAAACAAAGATTCAGTCGCTCTTCTGTAGGGGGCGTTTGTTGTAGATGATGTGTTCAAAGACAGTCGGAAAGATGGTAATCTGACGATAACGTTGTGTTCACTTCTTCTGGCTGATGAGATAAACGTGAGGTTTGGAGCTGTGCTTCTTTTTGTGGGTAAAATACCTGCGTCTCAACAAAGTCAGAAATAACAACAATTTTAAAATAAGCAGCAGATATGACGATACGAATCATTCAAATATGTATTATTTTATTTTGAAAATTATTTTATTTAAGATACCCCTCTAACACAAATAAAATAAATGGTCTTGACTTATCATTGTTTTATTTGATGGTAGTTTGGTGATGCAGCGAATGGGAAATTAAAACATGTGACTCTTTAAAGTGCACATACGTGTTCGCATATTTGGGGAAGCAATAAAACAAATACAAATATTGTAGCCGAGATTTATGTAAATTCATATTGTTTACATTGTTCATATTCCTCGTTATTATTTCTCATCACAACGTAAAAATAATCAGCCGAGTGAGTCACATCGACGTGTTTCCTTCTTCAAACCCTGTGACCTTTGACCCTGGAAGCGCGTTTAAAGGGCGACTGACAGGAAACAGGCGGCGCTGTCGATGGAAACGTCAAAACGCTTAAAGTTGGTGAAAGCTGTCGGTGCCTCGGGGGGGGATTGATTTATCAAACTTACATTTCTTCTACAGGGCAGGTTTCCCTCTTTAAGATAACGTGCACACACACCCACGTAAAGGAACCCGCTGCACGTGCGTTGTCCCTCACGCCCCCACCGCGTCGCTGCAGATCTTTGGCCCCTTTGGCCCGTGGAGGCGCCTGTTCAGCCGGCCTTTGCAACGCCCCCCCGGCTGTAATCGGTGTCCCATCACACACCGACAGCCTTCACGTGGACACGTTTGTCTGTCTTTGTCGGCTGCAGCAGAAGATCAGGTGAAGACAGAGCCCAGAGCTCCGGGAGCTTAAACCCTGTCCCCCCTTGTCCCCCTTGTCCCCCCTGTCGACCCTGTCCCTCCTGTCCCCAAACTGTGAGGCTCTCATGCTCTTCGATCCACTTGATCCACCTCTATATTTAGCCTTGCGCCTTCGGAGCCACCGCTCCGTTTCCCATCCCTGACCCACTTTCCGACACCTATACCACCCTATATATTGTCACCCAGTATACAACCACACTATGGTAATCAAAAGGGATGAAAAAAAACTTCGTGCAACCGAGAACATTCTTGTCACGCTTAATGATCTCGTCAGTCAAAAACCAGGTTTTAATTACCTCAGATACTGACCTCGGTTAAGATGGATCCCAGCGGGGATTATCACCCCCCACTAACAAATTCAGAGGACATTTGGGACATGTATTGTTTCGCCCTGCCCAAGCTGCAGGAATATTAAAATCGGACAGTTGGTACGACCCGCGGTTTGTCACTGAAACACCGGGAGAGGTTTAATCTGCTTCTTTCCTATTGTCCCGTGACCGCCCGCACAAGCTGAAGAATAACATC